AAAAAATCGCCAGCTTCAAAGGGCTCTCGGAAGGATTTTTTCAGAATTTTTTTTTAATGTCGTAAGTGTTTGGGGTGGCTGGGGGGGTAGTTCTGGGGCAGCTAATGCTTTGGTGATTTTTTATATTGTGTGGGGGTATTGTATGAGTCTTATAAAAAATCGCCAGCTTCAAAGGGCCCTCGGAAAGATTTTTTCAGAATTTTTTTTTAATGTCGTAAGTGTTTGGGGTGGCTGGGGGGGTAGTTCTGGGGCAGCTAATGCTTTGGTGATTTTTTATATTGTGTGGGGGTATTGTATGAGTCTTATAAAAAATCGCCAGCTTCAAAGGGCCCTCGGAAAGATTTTTTCAGAATTTTTTTTTAATGTCGTAAGTGTTTGGGGTGGCTGGGGGGGTAGTTCTGGGGCAGCTAATGCTTTGGTGATTTTTTATATTGTGTGGGGGTATTGTATGAGTCTTATAAAAAATCGCCAGCTTCAAAGGGCCCTCGGAAAGATTTTTTCAGAATTTTTTTTTAATGTCGTAAGTGTTTGGGGTGGCTGGGGGGGTAGTTCTGGGGCAGCTAATGCTTTGGTGATTTTTTATATTGTGTGGGGGTATTGTATGAGTCTTATAAAAAATCGCCAGCTTCAAAGGGCCCTTGGAAGGATTTTATCTTAAATTTTTTTTTCCAAGTGTAAGTTTTTGGGGTGGCTGGAGGGGTGGTTTTTGTGTTTTGAGGGGCTAATATATCATTTTTAGGGCTCACTGTCTCTATTCGAAACTGAAAAACCATTTTCAGTTTCAGGAGCAAAAAAAATTTTTTTTTGATTTTCGTTCATAAATGAACGTTCGGAACTTCAGGTACATATTTTGTTCACAAGAGCAATCTTCAACGCTCCAAAGAGCTTCTTGCCCCTCTTTTACCCCTGGATTATTTTTTTTATTTTTAGTTATCTCGCTCTATCTTTTTTGATTATCGTCTCGCTTAGCCACGCATTCTCATTGAATGACACACGTAATTTCAAGGCAATTTTCCACACGCGACACGCCAAAACACACGTATCTTATGACTAAATCTCTTGCTGAGGGCGATTCAATTATTTTATTAGCTTTTTAAATTGAATTTTTACTTTTTCTCTTAAATTTATTCAATAAATTTTTTAGTGCATAAATTTTAATATTTCAATTAATTATCGTAAATCCCATTAAGGATTTTTAATTAAAAAGATTATTAGATTTTTCTGTTAATTGCAATTAAAGTGAATATTATCGTAAGTTATGAATTTAATTATCATGAATCTAAAGTGCTGTTCTAGTGTATTTTAATTGCACGGCACGATATCAAGCGTCTAGTTTACATGCGCTGAAAAATAATTAAGAATTTATTTATTCTATGAATTAACTTCATCACTTCGTTAGTGTTTTAAAGTTTAGAAAATTTTTTTTGGGATAAATAAAATTCCGTAAGCTCTCTGCAATATAACTTTGTATTATTTTATATATTTTTAATTTTTGACTTTAAAATAATTACTGAAAAATTGCTCAGTGTCTAAATTAGTTCATTAGAAATTATGAAAATATTTTAGACTTTAAAAAAAAAAGTTTTCAATAAAATTATAAATTATTTTACAATCTTAAACTTAAATTAAATTTTAAATGAACATTTGCTTGAATAGTATCTTAATTATTCAATTATCCGCTCTGCAAATGGAAAATTTGAATTACCTTGCGCCACCTATCGCTTGCTATAGAGAACTACTGATTTAAAGCTCCTCTACAATTCAAGAAAAACACAAAAATAAAATGTTAAATTCTGAAAATAATTAAATCAAGTTTTTTTAGTTTTTTTTATAAATAAATAAAGTACTCAAAAATTTTTTACTTGCTATTTAATAGATAAATGTTTACTTTTAGTACAAAAAAAAGAAATTTGCATCAAGCATAAAATTAATTTTAATAAAGATTTTTTAATAAAAAAAATTTTAATACATTTTTAATAAATAAAAAAAATTTATTTAATAAAAAAATCTTCAAATTTGTCTTAAAAATAAATTGTAAATTTGTATTGTGATTAGAAATAATTTTTTATATTGATAAAAAATTTTCATTAAAAATTAATAAAATTTTGTAGAAATAAAATTAAAAAAATTTTTATTTTTGTTAATAAAAAAAAAAAAAAACAAAATTTAAATATTAAAAATATAAACATGCGATAGATAAGAAACTAATGCATCAGAAGCTTGTCGACAAATAAACTCAAAGTGAAGAAGTAAACTGCTTTTTATAAGACCAAGTAATCGGATTTTTTATACATTGAGACAAAAACGAATTCTATTATACTGGTTTCGTATTCAATACCGGTTTCATGTATGCGTATACGCTCAAGGTCACTTTGACAGATCTTCATTGCATTCAGATCATGATTGAAAAAAACGGCATGCAATGTGTTATTAAACTTTTTGTGTGATAATAACCATAATGATGATAGCCAACAGCGCCTCTGAGTGCTGCATTAACATGATTAGTGTCACATTCATGATTATTCAAATGGAGTAATAATCAAATAATGATATTCATGATTCGGGTGTGTGTAAATATATTTATCAGTGTCTGGTGATTGGAAAAAGACGGAATGTGAATAATAAATAACTGTATTTATAATTGCAATTATAATTAATAACATAAATATAAAATATAAAGGGGAATAACGAGAGAAATGAAGATAAATAGTTAATTTATATTTTGAAATATCCTTCTGTTATTTCAGGAATTATCGTTAGATCGGATGCGAGCCATATACTCCTAACAATAGCCATCACCCACGAATCGAACTGCTCTGGCTATTATCTTTCACCCTCAATGCTATGGTCAGTTTGTCCATCTGCTGACCAAGCGCTCGTCAATACTGCATCCCACTGGTCAAATCATTGACACCCATTGTCAACTTACGACTGTGTCTGCAATTGCTTTGCTTCATTCGTTACACACATACTCATATGTTTGTATTATGTGTATTATTGTATCCTTATATACAATATAATATAATAAGAATTTTCATTTAATTTATTTATTTACTGTTCAAGCCACTTCAGAAATAAGCCACGGACTTATACTAATCCAAATACACTGACCCAAATAATTGAGACGCCGGAAAATTTTCTAATTTTTTTAAGAAATATTTTTTAAGAGCTAGATAGATAGATTGGTGGGAAATTATTGTATAGATATATAATCCAATATTATTTTTTCTAAAAATTTTTAATTCAAAAATTGTTATGCAGAAGTAATGAATTAATTTTTATTTTGTTTTTTTGGTTTAAAAAGCAGTAGGGCCAACAGTATATATGGAATTTCAAAGATTACTGACATGAAGTATGCGCACAAAAAGGTCAAAACTGTCAAACCCATAAATTGTATCACCTAAAATAGAAGATAAAAATTGAAATTTGGACTAAAAACCAGTAATACAACTAATACTTACTGACGGAATTAAGTCAAGGTGTGTAGTAGTTTCTGATGTCATAGCAATCGCAATAGTAATTAGCGGATTCAGTAAATATGCACAGTATGTTATTCTGCTCAAAGGAATCCAAAGTTTCAGTGAAAGAATTTTTCCGATGAGTCCTAATTATTTAAGCCACATATTAATCATAATTTTTAAAAACAATGTACATATTAGGGTGTGCCAAAATGTAACTTCCGTGGAGAACGTTTTAAAATTAGAATTTTGAGTTCCGCTTCTAACAGGGACTGTATTTCGGCATTTCCTGAGATATTTTGGGGTGAGACGATGTGTTTAATTTTCATAGAATTTTTTAACAAGGGCTTAGTTTGGGAATTTCCGCTGAAAATTCAAAATTTGGCTGGAAGTGCCCAATTAAATTTCCTGTTAAAAAAATTCTATTAACATCAAATAAATCCGCTCACCCCGAAATAACTCAGGAAATGCCCAAACACAGCTGCTGTTAAAAGCGGAGCTCAAAATTCCAATTTTAAAAGGTTCTCCACGGAAGTTACATTTTGGCACATCCTAGTACATATGGATTATAAATATTGTACATATAGATTATCATTACCAGCGTTGTTGGTATGACAGGCAACAATGATCCAGGAAATACCAATACCCCATACAATTTTGCTAAAAGCCACATAAAACGCAGCACTAACAAACGAGAAATTTTTGCCATAGAGTCCAAAAAGTATCACAATGTTACACGAGCTCCCAACAATCCAGAGTAAGCACAAAGTTTTCTGAAAAAGAAGAACCATCTTACTTTTATTTGAAAACCGTAGAATTTATTTTAGCAAATAAATCATTTTTAAAAGTTATAGAAATTAAACTCTCACCCGACTGACGTTTAATTTACCCTTCATCCTTCTCAAAATATACCCTGTTATCATTCCTATCAAATATGGCCCTATTCGTATCCACGGTGGTGAGTATACAACATTCATTATGCTCCACATTTGGTCAGTTCTATTGAGAAAAATATTTTTTTTTTTTTATGGGTAAATTGGCAATTATGGGACGAAAATTTTGAATATTGATTCAATTGAATTCAATTCTATTGAAACTTACGTATTGATATATTCATATGCATAGGAAGTAAATCCATTAATGATGGCTGGAACTATAAGCAGAACTAATAGTAAAGCTGCAGAGGTGTAAAAGTACCTGAAAATATATACTAGATTATTTTATGAAGTAAGTTGTCAAAAGTATCGAAAAAATCCAGAAGAAAATCCGTAAGCTATTAAATCTGCATTAATTCTTTGTTTTAGGATCTTTAAAAGTCTCGGTGTAGTCGTAGTAATGTATGCATTAGCCCCCCCCCCTCTACCACTTTTTCCTTTCTCCACAAAATAGCTCTCTCTCTCTCTCTAATTCAAAAGAAGATATTCGATTTAAACTGAGAAAGGAGATTCAAGGTCAAGCATCTAAGCGTCTCCTACCTTCATACTAGGACGTTTCATCGGGTAAAGAGTGGGGGAGTCCTTACGCATTAGTCTCTTTTGATGAATTTTCTATTCAATCTGGATTATTGTCTTGCGTCAAGTAGTTATTATTGAAAGTTAAGGAGCGCAATTAAAAGAGGTGTGAGTCTTCAAAGTTACTCTTTGCTGTCAATGAAATTTTCAAAGTAATTATTATTGATCTAATCAAACAGATATTTTTAATTTTTGTAGTTCATTGGTATGTATTAAATAGATAGAAAATGAAAAATAAAATTAGATTGTTATTTAATAAAGAGATTACGTCTGGATTCTTTGGACAGTGCAGTTTACTTTTTTGTCTTACACGTCAGATAGCAGCAATAAAAATGTTCCGATTATGTAGAATTGCATGTCGTTTGCTACGTACCAACTCCAAGACAGACACTAAAATTTAACAATTAAAATTAATTATTAATGATCGATTAGTTACAATAATTAATGAATCACAATAGTTACTGCTTCATTCCAATCGAATAAGTTATTAATAAAAAGCACATTTCTCCACCAGTAATTACTGCAATAATAGTAAGGATCTTCCGCAGCAATGAAAGCTGAAGTTTTGTTGATCATCCCAAAAATGATTTCAGCTATTCCAATTATTACAAAATACACTGGACCAAGCCTGAAAGTAAATGTCATAGAAAATATTGAAGATTAAGTTTGAAGTGGCTTTATTACCTTAGTACTCTATTGAAGACAAGATTAAGATACCCAAACCACGTGAATCGACGAACTGGTTTTGGTTCTTGACCGATTCGTTTACCGAAAAATGACCAACAGATCAAAAATCCGCTGATACAGAAGAACGTGTCTACTGCCAAGCTTCCATTGGTTATAATTTGGTTTGTAAATTCTACGGATAATTTCCATGCTGTCAGTCGATTATCAAGCGCGTCATTCGAATAAAAAACTGCGTGGATCAAAAAAATCCATATCATGCCAAGCAAGCGAAGACCGACGATTGAATTCACTGAATCTTTGCTTGATTCTGTGTTGACAAGCGATTTGGTGTTGGTGAAGACAGAAAAGCAGAGTAAGAATCGTTCCAAAGTACCTGGTTGTCTACCTTCTGGAGCTGGACCTGGAAAATCAATGTAAAACTGAAAATTTTGATGCTTAAAATAAATGAAACTGCAGGTTTTATTCAGGATGAGAATTTTGTTTATTCACTTGTGTTGTCAGCGACATCCTTCGAACTTTCTGCTGGATCTAGACGTTTTTGGTGAACAATGCAGTCATATGCTGTACCGATCACCGCCAAAAGTATGGACAAGGTCAGAACAATGCTGAAATCAATTCGTCTGTTGATTGAAGTGATTGCTTTGATTGGGCATTTGGTTGGTGAATAGTTACCCAGTGGTGATGATTTTCCAATCAAGAAGCCATTGGTGGTCATCTTTGCCATCCCGAATGTCATAAAGCCAATAGTCTGTTGAATGTAAGCTTCCAATTGTAAGAGTTCTGGATTCAAATATTTTTTCAAAAATCCCGCTCAATTCTTTTGAAGAACATGATGCTGGAAGACAGACTCCTAGAGACAACAAATCCTAAACAAATCAAAGGTATTTTCACGTGTACTTAAATGATTTTTGAACGTTTGAAGAAATATCTAATATGGTTTGATCAAAAAATTATTTTCACGGATCACGTTATCCAAAAAAAATTCTTACATCATATTTAAAGCGAAGTTGGTACTGCTGCGTACTATTGTGCCAGAAAAATACAATAAAGTAGTTGAGATCAAATGGCGGAAATTCTTCGTCGATGTTACGGTACTTTGAAACATTTTTCAAAAATTCAGGATCTAATTCCAGGGGCTTGGTGTTTCTTAAGTCAAGACACTGACTTTTGATTCCTGGCCAAAAATTGTTGCCGTAAAAAAATCCTGGTTTGGGTTCACCACTCGCATCTAAAACTGTTAAATAACTTTCACCTTTAGCAATTTTGATTTTTTTGAGTTGATAAAATTGAACTTACCTTTCAAGCTCCATAAAATTTTTTTATCAACGCCAATTCGAATTGATTCCAAATCACTTTTACACGATGAATTTTTTAAAATATCCGCATAAAATGTTACTGCATACACGGGCGAATATTTTTCTAAATTATTGCTTTGTGCTTTTACAAAAATACACAGAAAAAGTCCATAAAATAATAAACATAAATTTTTGACATTTTTTGGTAACGTCATTTTTTTAAGAGTTAGTGTAATTATTGTTATTTATTAGTATTGCGTAAAATTAAAGTAAAATATTGTTACATGCTTTCAATGAAGAGACTCAGAGATAACTGAGCAATAAAGTTATAAATTATCGCATGCAACAAAATATTGTAATAAGCTTACTTAAATCTTTTTTGTCGCGAAATACATATTTATAACTCGTTTCCGGATCAAGTTAATGACAAGGATGTTACTATGATATTCACAGTTTCTTACATTGTAAGTGTCATTTTCTTCAAATGGTTAAACTTTAATCGATTTGTATTAATTTCCATTGATTAATTAGTAAGTAAGCATAAGATAACTTATTGAATTATTTATTGAGTTTTTATCATAATTTTTTGTATCATAAAAGAATACGTATTTTTAATAAGCCGATCGAAGAATCGTTAGAGAATATTAAGTACTTGAATGTACAAAGTGCACCATCAATTGATCAGTAAATTACCTTTACTATAGTGAGATTGAATAACATAACTACAAACAGTGAAAAAGTTATTTTCTAATTTTGAAAATTTTAATATTTCTAACTTTACAATTAGACTAATTTTTTGCAGAGCTTACTAAATAATTGGAGCAAAATAAGTGAAATTTTTAATTAATTTAGTCGTTAATAATCTACAGAGTAATTTGAAGGTAATAAGACCAAAAGAGTCGATAATTTACAATAAAATAACATATTTAGTATAAATTCAGACTTATGGTTAGTTATTATTGATGATAGTCGAAAAATTCGATAAGTTTATTTATTGATCAAAAATAGATAGTTGAAGTGAGCAGAAGATTTCGACGACATATTAACAAGCTTGTCGACGTCTGGCGTATTGAATAAATCTATAATTTCATTATTCAGTGCATGTTTTTTTAGAACATGTAATTAAAAATGAATTATAACTAATAGGGAAACAATATTTATTTAAATAATTCGATAACTAATCGTATTTATTTTCCAATTTTTTTACTGTTCAATTAAAGGTCAATTCTTAAATAAATTCAAACAATTTGTCGACGATGCACTACTTGCATTGTATGTTATAAATAGATAATAATTCAAGATATTTCTGTACAAGTGCAAAAAAACTAGAGGTAAAAAATAGCTTTTAACGTCACTATTAAAGTTATTCGATCATATTAATTATATTGTTTTCTACGTAATTTTTTTAATCTACTAATTTAAAGAAGCTTTTGCCGTCGTATCTAGCCGCTATTATTACACTTCTTTTTTTGCGTAACTTGTTAGGTAATTGAAATAATAAATTGCACGGAGTTTCAATCAAAATAGTTGCGATAAATGCACTGAAAATTGTGAAGGCTGTTAATCCTAAAAAGTATATAAACTGAAACAAAACACATTTTATATCATATCTTGTGATTAAAGTCTATGGATTAAGAGTCACTTACACATCGGAAATTGTCGAGGTGCATAGATGATTCTGACGTCATAGCAACTGAAAGTGTAACCAGTGGATTCAATAGATAGGCAGAGTATGTAAGCTTGCATAAAGGATTCCAGATTTTTAGCGACAAAATTTTGTTGATGAATCCTACAAATATTAATGGTATAAATTATCATCAATATGATAGAGAAATATCCAACGCTATAGTTACCAGCGTTGTTAGTATGACAGGCAATCACAATCCAAGCTATTCCTAAGGCCCATACAATCCTACCAAAAGCTACGTACATCGCAGCGCTCATGGGTGAAAAGTTTCTTTGATAGAGTCCAAAGAGAACAGAAATATTGCACGAACTTCCCACAATCCAAAGTAAACACAATATTTTCTGGAACGAGGGTGAATTATGTGACAATTTTTTGTGGGGATTAAAAATTTTTTTATATTGCCTTAATAATAATTATTTTGCTTTAATAATTTATTAAAAATTGTTTTATATAAAGAGCTCTTACTGTACTGAGATCCAATTTTCCATTGAGGCTTCTCAAAACGTACCCAGCGATTATTCCAACTAGATACGGACCTATTCTCATCCAAGGTGATGAATATAATATCTCCGGTTGCAAAAACATTTGTTCTATCCTATAAATGATTACATTTTTCATTTTTCAATGGAAATAATTAACTCTTCATAGATCGTGTAATGAGCGCGGCACAACCTTCTTCAAATTTCGTTATTTTTTCTAAACAATATTTCAAAGGTAAGTTTAAAAAAAAATTTAACTCTGAAAATTTTAGTGCAATAAATATGTCCTCAAATGTTCTAGAAAAATTTACGAAGGGTAAATTAATTAATTAATTAATTTCAATGCCAAGGCAGTATAGACAAATGGCAAAAGTATACAAAACAATTATAATAAAGTAGACGTATGAATAATGAAGATATAAAATTTCAAAATTTTAGACATTAGAAAAAAATCGTCTTTCTTAAATTTGGAATGTAGTTACGATAAATACAAGAAGAGTATAAATTTTAAATTAAAAATTAGTGAATTACAAAATAATTTAAAAAATATTTACGTGGCTGTGTATCCATATCCGTAAGAAATTAACCCATTTACGATGACTGAAATCACTAGGAGAGCCATCAACAGGAATGCTGATGCATAAAAATGTCTGAAAATAATTCTTATTAAAAAAGTCGAAGTTAATTAATGAGTTTGGATCTTACATTTCAGATAAAAGTAATAGGAATGTTCCGATGATGAAGAATTGTATATCACATGGCACATACCAGCTCCATGTCATGCACTGTAATTAAAAATCAATCATTAATTGAACTTTTAAATTAATTCAGATAATTTGACATTGAAAATATTACCAATTCATTCCAAGGAAATAAATTGTTAATAAAAAGCGCGTTTCTCCACCAGTACTTATTACAGTTATGATACGGATTTTCAGCTATGACAAATGAGGAATTTGCATTGTACCATCCAAAAATCATTCCAGTTATCCCGATTATCATAAAGTATACTGGAGCCATTCTTAAAATAAAAATTTTAGATAATTTATGCAATTCCCAATGGAGAATGTATACAGTTACCGGATAATTCTTTTAAGAGTGAGATCAAAAAATTTGCGCCACGGAAAATGCCGGAATGATTTAGCTCCAGAGTAAACATTCACTTTCTTGCCAAAGAATGCCCAGCTGATCGAAAATCCGCTTAAGCAGAAAAACGTGTCGACGGAAATATGTCCGTTGGCAAAAATTTGATTTACAAATCCTTCTGTTAATCTCAGCATTGCAACTCGATTGTCCAAAAAATCAGGCGCGTATATAATAGTATGGAGCATACAGACATAAATCATTTCAAGAGAACGCAGTCCAAAAAGTGATGGTATTACATCTTTTATACTTTCTTTTGTATCGAAAATTTGTTTGGTATTTGTATGTACAGAAAAACAAAGCAAGATTTGTCCAAGAAAATTTTGTTGCAAGACACTTGTTGATTTTACATCTGTAATGGGACGTATTTTTGAAATTATTGGTATCTAAAGGCTATAGGGATTTTTCTATCAAACAATACATCTACACAAATTAAGTAATAAATGTAAAGGTCTGTTGTCTGAGTGGGAGAAAAATAAAGGTAGTGAGAATGGAATGAGAATTAATATAATTGAGAAATTAAAAGGAAAAGTATGTAAAAATTTTTGTAAAATAATAAAAAAAATAGAAATAATACAAAGAGAATGTGAGAAGGGAGAATGTAATAAAAGTAGTGATAATATTGAGGCTGTGAGTGTAGATCAGGTGATATAGCACGTATGCGTCCGAAAGAGTATGAAAAATGATGAGAGTATAAATAAATAAAAATGTTATGAGTATTAAGCAACCGAAGAGATAATAGAAAGGATAAGTGAAACTTTCTTTATTAAAAAAAAAGATTTGAAAAGATTCACTCCAGGCAACTGTATATCTATATATAGCAGTCAGCTCAAATTTTTTTGAATGTTATTGAATCGTTTTAATCTTTTTTTTTTAATAAGGGTTGGTACACAGACATAATATAATTATATAATTATAAAAAATTACAATGCACAGTAGAAATAGTGAATACCAAAATAATGTTAAGATAAGAGATAGAAGTATTGAATAGAGTTTTTTTTATCATAAAAAAAATCTTTGTAAAAATTTTGTAAAACACACTTATGTGATACAAATAAAACTTTGTTATTATTACATCTACACAGAGGAAAAAAACAGTACACAGCAGTGTTTTGAAAAAAAATGAGGAATTTTTTCTAATTTACCTGAATTATTGGCGATCTTTTTAGAACTTTTAATCAATTCCAATCGTTTTTGGTGGACGATGCAGTCATAGAATGTACCAATAATTGCCAAAATTATCGTGACTATCAGGACAATGCTAAAAATAACAATAAAGTTCTAAACTAAGTGAGTTTGAAAAGAAATTTATAAATAAGTACCAAGTGGTGATAATTTTCCAGTCAAGAAGCCATCGATAATCATTTTTACTTCCTCGAACACTATGAAGACGGTAATCTGCAGAATATAAATTTCCGACGGCCAAAATTTTGGCTTCGAACATTTTTTCCAAAATTCTAGATAATTGATCACTTGAACACGAGGCCGGCAGGCAAAGTCCTAATGATATCAGATCCTGAACGAATTATATATATTTTGAAATAGAAACCATCGTCACGCAGATGAAAGGTACTTACTTCATTTCTGAGGCGACATTGGTACTGATGTGTGCTGTTGTGATAAAAATGCGCTATAAAGTAGTTTAAATGAAATGGTGGAAACTCTTCATCGATATTGCGGTATTTTGAAACACTTTTCAAAAATACGGGGTCTAATTCTAAGGGTTTGGTATTTTCCAAATCGAGACACTGGCTTTTTGATCCCAGCCAAAAATTGTTGCCATAAATGAATCCAGATTTTGGCTCACCGCTTGAATCCAAAACTGTAAAAAAAGTTTATAGCTAAAAATTTTATAATTAAAATATTTTTTTTGAAAAAAGATGTCCAAGGCAGAATTTTAAAAAATTTTATAATTACCTTTTAAACTCCATGGAATTTTTTTATCTACAGCTTTTTTCAATTTTTCCAATTCACTCTTACATGCTGAGGGTGTTAGGATATCTGCATAAGATGAGACTCCATACGCGGGAAAATATTTTTCCAATTCACTAGCTTTTATCTCCACAAAATTCAAAAATAGAAGACCAAAAATGGCTTGTATTTTCATGATAGCAATTTTTAATATTGAATTGTGTTGCTCCTCTCAATGCAACTTGTAAACTGACCGCTTGAATTTTCTAGCTCAGAAGTTTGACTCAAATTGTTCAATAGTCCAATTAATAATTCTATTTTAAATTTAACTATCGATAATATTTCTTAAATCGTTTTTTTCATCTTCCGTTCTGCTTCATTGAATGGATCTTAAGCAATGTGTGTGAATATAAAGCGCATTATTAATAAAAATAATTCCAATTTTATGATTTCTCAGTACAAGGATTGTAAATTTAAGATAATCCGAGTTGTAAACTTTTTTTAATAAAATCACCGATCGTAAATGCATATGACGATAGAGTAATAAAATTTTAATAACTTTCTTTACTGACATAAAAAGAAATAAGCATATTTTTACAAACAACATTCATTATACTATAAAAATTGGTTTAATAAAATATCAAAAAATTTTTGACTAGTCAAATAATTTAAATAGTAAAAAAAAATTATTTTTAATATGATTATATTCCTTTTCTTCTTTTTAAAATTTTTTTTAAATTAGTAAGTACTTATGCAATATCTTCTAACCCTACTCACTCCATCAAACGAGTCTAAATGCTCGAGCTTCGTAAGCAACTAAAATAAAAAAGATTTTAATGTAGCTAATGCATTTTTAAAAGATGTTAACACCCCCAACGAGCTAACACCCAAACGAGTAAAACAATCACATTTATTAAGAGATCAATAAAGTGTTTTAGAATTATATAACAAAGGCATTGAGGGTAGTGTTTGAGTGAATTAACAAGTCAATCGCGTCTCCAGGGGTGGAATTATCAAATTCAAAATGTAAATCCAGAACTCTTATTTGGGGTGAACGGAGCAAGTGGGTGCTAATACGTGCGCGATCCATTAATCATAAGCCCGTAGGCGGAGGGATGCTCTCTATGTGCGATTGCACGGTGAAAAATTGAGAAACAGGTTAGCGCTGATAGAATAAAAAAAAAAAAAACAGAGTACGAGAATGAGGCTCTGTCATTGCTGTGTGGGGATATGGTGTGCGGCGCTACCCTAAATATTAACAGGAGCGCTACGGGGGTCAGACCAACCCTTAGGAGCCCTTCAATATTATCGGCGCTATGTATTTCGGTGACTGTGCTGCGAAATTCTCTATTTCTTTCCGTTCAACTCCTCGCATCCCTTTACGGGCCACCAACTGCCCTTGCCCACACTCTTCCAGCGAAAGTACGTACACACTCTGTCACTTGGTCCATCGCACGGTTCCCTGGACACACTGGATCGATAATCAAGTGGAACAGATTTGTATCGTCGAGGGACACGTCCACGCACTTGTTCATTCTCCGGCTACCAATAACCTGGACGATTTACATTATAATACAAGGCCACTTGAGCCAGATGTACCTATCATATAATACTCTTTCTATTTCAGATTATGTATGAGTTCAAGTGCTTTATTGCTATTGCTTTTACTTTTACTTCGCGTCAACATTTTACTTTTATTTTTTTACAACAATTGCTTTGAAAATTTATTGTCTCCTTCAAAGAGATTTTTAGATCGAGATTATAGTAATGGATTAAAGTAAACTTTTTTTCGAATTTATTACAGATAAAGTAGGGGACAAACTTCTTAATAAAATGGATTTTTTTTATTTCTTTCCTTTCATTTCTTGATAAGAAATTTTGAAATGTTCGGTGTGAGTTTTTATCGAAATCGACATTTTTAACGCCTAGGGAGCTATTCTATTTTAATAAAAATAAATTTTTTATCTAAGGTTGGAGTAATTTCAGAGATAGTGTCGAAAAATTTAAGCTTTGTAAATTAATTAAATTATTAACGCCGTGTCGGCCGATAGGTGGCGGAAGATAGCGAAATTATCTCACATGCGCTATAATTCTTAGATTAATTTAATGTTGCTTTAATTTATTTGAAAATATCGTTTGGTTCAAATATTAAAGGATTAAAAATTAATTTTCAAATTTTCTCCTTTCCAAAATATTTTTGTAACTTTTGTTAGAATTGTTTAAGAAATTTTGATGTACAAAATCAAGAAAATCATTTCAAAGTAGAAAAATTCTTTAACTGAGAAAATTTTCTTGATTTCAATAAATGTTACTTGATTTAAGAATTTTTTGTCTTAATTCAACACAATGCAATTCTTAAAAATTATTTTCTTGGTTCAAAAATTTTTTTTCAGTCTGTAAATATGCAGAGACTTGATCTGTGATTCTCTTTAACAAGTTAATTCAAAATTAAGTTCTCATTTAAATTATCTCAAGTAGTTTCACTAACAATTACACTCTACACTTTAGCTTTGAGGTTTCTTAGACTGCTACAAATTTAAGAAATTAAAAGTATAATTTCTTATCCATCGATATGTTTTTTTCAATCTTAAAATATTACGTGTATGTCTCTTTAGAAATTGTTATAAAATATTTTTTAAAAAAAGAATCTTAACAAAATTTGCATCTCATAAAATAATTAAAAAATTAAAACTTTTCAATTTTTTTTAAGAAATTTTCTTCTTTTTTTTTCATTATAAAATTGTATTACTTTTATTTTAAAATAAAATTTTCTAAAATAAATTTTTTTTTTCAACCTTTCGCAAGATGATAATTAACTTTACTTTTAAAATTTTATTTTAACTAAATAACAAGTGATTTTATCTTTGAAAAAAATTTAATTTTAGACAAATATTACGCTCTGATAACATAAAAGCTCTTTTGATCATTGTCGTATAATACATAGTTTAGGATAAAAAAAGGATAAAAATAAGCCCTCTATCTTTCTATAGGTACCAATTTAATTTTATAAAAAAATTTTAATCAAATTAAATTTTTAATTTCAGTCAAAAAAAGTACTAAAAGTCATCATTGCCTGTCTTAAAAATTTTGAGACAATTCTGTCAGTCGTTGAAGTGTGAAATGACTAGAATGTATGATGACCAAAGAAACAGATAAAAATGAAGGAGATAGAGGAGTTATAAACGGGGGAAAATAAATGAAGTAAAAATATATCCAGTTGTCATACATTTAATACTCAGTGAATCAATTATAACGATATATAGTTGTGTGTATGTTGATAGAGAGGATAAAAGTGTAGGATGTGCTCGATCGGACGGGTACCAGCTGCTGGAACGTACGACCAAATAATCGCAATGGAATTGTCAAAATGTATTCGCGCGTTATTTTAGGTAGGGTGAAAAAGAGAAGAACCGAGATGGGTATAGAGTATGAGCTGCAGTAGGGCGGGTGGATAGTAATGCAGGAAAAGAGGGAACCCTTCTTCGAATTCTATATATTGTATATCGTATCGTATCGTATCCAACGATATCCGTGGAGAATCGTTTTCCCTCGGAGAATTATACTGGGTATTATATTGAACCGGAAGGTTGTACCAAGGAGCTCGACTTATTTATATCTGTATAGATCTATGTATTTTATTATACGTGTGTGAGGTATGGGGCTGATTCTCGCACCCACTGGAAATCGAGTTGAGCTGAAGAATATGCTCGAGTGTCGCATAAGATATTATATCTATAACAAACATTGCGGGGTCCCGTTTGAAATTCAATAACCCCTAATTTTTTTAAATCTTATTCGTTTTTTTTTATTTTTATTTTGGCATGAATTTCTCTCAAAATATTTTTGTATTAAATAATAAAATTTTTTATGAGAAAAAATATTGACATTGAAAAAAATTTAACGAAGAAATTTTATTTAAAAAAAATTATTGATTTTTTTAATTAAAAACTGCATATTGATAAACATAATATTTTTTATTCATTAAAATTTATTATAAAATTTTTAAAGTAAAAATTGGATGATTTTTTTTAATTTTTTTCCAAACAATAAAAACTTCGCTAAAGATAATAGAAAAACCGACAATTTAAACTTATTTATTTTCACACCTGTTTAATATAATTTTTATAAATTAGCTGTTCAGAGATTAGCACGCATTGATAAAATAAAACATCGAAATCATTTAACAAAAACAAGTTTTTTTTTACAGACTGATGTATAAAATCAAAATTTAATTTTTTGACTGACGTATTGGGTATGAGAAATGACAATTCGTTCGAGCCGCAGGCAATACAAGCTCAATACATAAAATTGGTATATTGAAGGTGTACTATTTATTATTCAGCTTTTAGAGCTGTACTATCATTTTGTAATAGTACCTTGTCTAACTTGTGTACTGAAAAAAAAAAAATTTTTGACTGGATTGTAAATTTTCTTGGCTCAAGAAAATATTAAGGAAGATTGAAAATTTCTTGAATGAAAAAGTTTCTTGAGCCAAGAAAATTTTTTCTTGCTTCAAAATAACTTTCGTTTTCCTTAAAATTTTCTTGACGCAAGAAATTTGTTTTTTGTGTGTGCTGCAAATTGTTGATTATCTTATCTTTTATCTGGGGGACAAAATTCCCCAGATAAAATAAAAAACTATAAGTTTTAATTGTAAAGAATTACATACTCCAGTTTTATATTTTTAAATATTCAAAAAGAAAATGTATGACTATTTACTTTCACCTGATTTTTAAAAAATAAAAAATTAATAACTAATGTTTAAATTGTACTAATTAAATCTTAAAAAAATTTTAAGCTCAAATCTATCCTGATTCTTGATATTTATAATAATTATTATATCTTATACAGTGATCATGATCACAAATAACATTTTAATTAAAATACCTTGCCATTTGGCCTGTGCCTTAGCATATATTACTAATAAATAAAATAAATAAATTCATCTCTGTGTAAATAAATCAAGAATTTCCATCCTAAAAATAAAAAAAAAATTATTTATCTTTTCTATTTAAATAAAAAAATTCTTTAATAAAAAAGTAAAAAATAACGAAAGTTCTTTCAATTAACATGAATCGATAATAATAAAAAAGCAAAATAAAAAGTTTCTAATTAAAAAGAGTATTCTTTAAAAAAAGATCTCTTTGTAGGACGAATGAGCATGGAGACGAATCAGTGGAGGATAAATTAAAGGATTAGCCGTAGAACCAGAAAAAGAGACGATACAGGTTGATAGCAAGGTTGCCAGATCGTATAATGAAATATGCGTGACGAGAGGTCCCGTGAGTCCTCAACAACGAGGTTCACACTTGCCCATACTCATCTCATCCCTGTGCCAATACTAATGACAATGCCACTACCACCGCCACAACCTGCACCATCAAAATCGCCATTATCCTAAAATCTATAGATAGACAGATACATCCCGGCATATACCATACGCCATATAATACAATACTGAGTTAAAGCTTGCTGGCTGGTGCTATACATTTATTGGTACCCTGCAAAAGGTCCGCTCTCTCTCTCTCTTTCTCTCTCTGCACTGGCAAGGGTGTTCCCGGGCGTTATATTATTCAATTATGTCATTTCAGTTATACGCACCGACACTGCGCTCCAGCTCGCGACCCCTGCTCCTAGCTCCTACTCCATTTTAACCCTGCTACCATCCGGTCTATCTATATTGCACCCCACGGCCAACTTGGGCCATTATCAAATTGTGCCTACGCGATTAATTCCACCGATGTTACGTCGATTATCATGAGCATCAGATAATAGTCCCCAGTGTTGTAACCAATAGACTCCTCTAACCTCTTTCGTTTATTTTTACAGAGCTCCTTTCAGATATAATTTTGTTTTTAAGTCATTTCATCTTGTAACTCACTGCTGGTTAGTGAAAATATTTTATTACGCTGCTTGTGATTTTGGTATTGATATTGATTACGTACTGATGAAAAAAATAAATTCTGTTTAACTAAAAAAAATTACTTTTAACATAGTCTATTTAGACTGTTGATTTAAAGAGATAAATTTTTAATTAAGAAAAATTGAATTGAACAAGTACAAGTTATTCTTCAAATAAAAATAACAAAA